AACATAAAACGCGGATGGTGAGAAGTTCGAAGTCTTTCTATATACGTCAAACAGCGATGCGGGTGAAAGCGCTGCAGACATGAGAGCGCAGGACAAATGGCAAAAGTTGTTAAAGTAGTTATGATTACTTTTCTTCGTGAGAAGAATCGTTCGCCGACGTCTTCCATACCTTAGGCATCTCGTTCCATCGAACTCACTTTGAGAAATGTCTAACAAGAAAATTAAACGAGATTATACCTCCTGCTTTGACATAATCTGGACGTACATAATCTTTTCATGGATATTTCCACTAATTATGAATCTAATTTCTGACCAACTTCGTCTGCGATGATTTCGAACAACTTCTAAGAAAATTAGCAACAGCTTCCTACATTCCGTAGTAATATTAATTTATCCACGTAAGGAATGTGAAAGGCAAATAATTCTAGCTGGAATTCGAATCAAAGGTGTTTCAAATTCTCTGCCACTGCCCTAACCTAGTCGATTTATGTGAAATTGTTAATAATCCATTGTTGAACCAGTACATGTATGTAAATTAGTGAATTTTGGTGAACTAAACCACAGTATACAGAATACTACCATGAACACCTACCAACATTACCTGTCTTTCGTTTCAGCGGCTCTGTCTCGCTGACGGCGGTTCTTGAACCAATTGCTGACCTGTGTGGTAGTGAGACCGGTGGTATCGGCAAGTTCGCGCTTCTCCCGCGGACTGGGATAAGGGTTGTGTGCGTACCAGTTTCTGAGAATACTGCGAGACTTCTCCTTGAAGCAGTAACTCGTTTCTTCGCCGTCCCAGATGGTGCGGGGAAGCGGGAACTTTCTTCGAATGCGGTACTTTCCAACGGCTCCCAACGGACGACCACGGGACTTCTCCGCTTCAATGTAATGCGCCCTCAGCCACAGTGCCTGCAACTTTGGGTGACTCTCGATTGGAAAGTTGTTACTCTCAAGAATGTCGTAAAGTTCTTTGAAGTTTCCGCTATGGAAAGCTACCAAGGCTTTTGCTCGTAAGACAGTTTCGTTTTTGTGTAACTCTTCGCAGATGGGCAGGGACCACAAAAACCTAGCCAGCCGTTCAATGTTGCCCGACTGTTGCAGTACCTCGCATACGCATGCCACCTGTTCCTGAAAGAAAACACCTGTGGTACATTTACGGAAAAAGTGAGCATATTATAACGCTTTAGTAGCTTCAGTGTGGAGCTTCAACGATGAAACAAAAAAACAATGATAATCAACAGATCAAACCACCATAAGTTATCGGTCATACCTTGTGTATCATCATTTGCATACGTCAATTACCGTGAAAGACATTTAGATTTTGCAACGCTTTATTCTGATCTTCGTGTTTTCTTCCTCTTTACGGCGATACGACACCGTAGGCCAAGCGTTTTAGATGCTGCATCCATGGGTTTCTTCCTACTGACTAGCGACAGTGCCGTTGCTGGACACGATTCGTATAAAGCGACAGAGAAACATGCTTGCTGCACAACGATCACTTTACAAGTTTGCCTTCTCAGCCATTCTGTTACTGTACACGCGTTATCTCGCTATCATTTTCCACTAGCTGCCTTTATGAAGAACCACCAGTTTCCCTCATTCTTGGCAAGGCTAACGAGTTTGTCATTAAAAGACGTCACACCACAGTTTATAGAATCAGAGATTACTGTGGTGGTCTCGCAGGTACGATCATCCTGAAAAATTGTTCACAACTTCCAAAAATATTTGTTGCACCTGACTTCCAAGAGATCCTGATTTATTAATATCTACGCGAGACGCAGTTCTTACACAGGTCACGTATGTAAATATTACTTTAGGCTGTCATTTGATGTTATTTAATCTTCAGATTCTTCATTTTGGTATCTGTTCTGACTTTTCGTTTGTTTCCGTGTTTCATCTATTCGAATTATTTCACCGCATAAACATAAGAATATGTTGACACAACGGAGTACGTCAAATGACGCAAAGCTCTTTCACCCTGCAGCATAGCTGCTTTCCTCCAGCTTGCCTAAAGAGGCTTTATAATCAATCCGTGGCATCTTGATATTTGACCACCTGTAATATTCAAAGCATCTCGTCGTCAGCGAAATGACTCTAACGACAAAATCACGCGGGATACACATTTTGATAATATTTTGATGTTTATTGGTAACGGATAAGCATAATCCGCTCTTGGACAAGTTGTACTCTGTTTGATTTATTTTTTATCAATGGTTCAAATTACTCTGACAGTGTGTTAACGCCTCATGTTTATCGATGATGTCACTCCAGCAGCAGTCCTGCGTTTCCTGTGATTGACATCGCCTTTGTTCCATGAACGATGGAGCCAATAACACATGAAAAGCGCGTCAACGTACCGCCCGCATTTCCCCGATGTAATTCATGGGAAAGAAAGACCAGAGAAAAACGACCGTAATTCAGGAGCTGATTGGCCCAGTGCAAGGATCCCTCCCCCCCGCACAATCTTACTGGCTCCATTACGCACAACCAGAAAGGAATCGTTCACTCCTTATGCAAGTAGTGAATGATATAATAAAATGGTCAGTTGTTTTTGCATGATATAGTTGCATATGAAGAGCTGTTTGTGCACTGGAGACAAGATTGGGTGTAACAATATTAAGCTTTACACTGGACATCAGCGGCTCCGCCTTCCTAATAGAGCCAGGTATAATTAATGCAGCGAGCATACAGAGCAAGAGCGAAATCATCGAACAGGCCTTGGTATCATTTTTTGATTGCCACGAAAAACATATTTAAACAACAAATAACCAGAAGGCATTTGTGCCGCAAATAACCTTTTTTTCCGAAGTGCTTTTTCCGACGGGGGTCCTCTACTCGAATCAACAGGCTCCAGAATATTTAGTTCTCAGTTAAATTCTCGGTGACTCCTCAGTTTCATATCATGTTTGTGCCACAACCTGTAATTTAATTATTGAACATTAATCCTTACATTTTTCACAGTGGCACAATTGGTTGCAACTCTGAAACAGAGGTGTCCTGATTTGGGTTTATCCGGCTTAGTAAAGACAAAGTAGAGATAGAGATAGATAGAATCAGGACCAATGTCGTCCGAACCTTAACACCCAAGTTAAGGACAAGATTCGAAAACATTTATATCTGGGAGTACATTATTACCAGGTGAGTGAGTGACAAACGAGATGAAAAGGCACGGTTTGCTAGCCTTACAGCTAGCAACAAATTAAGCAATCCCTAGAAAGTCAAAGACGTGGGCCATATTGAGGATACGCAGGGCTTGCGTTTCGAACATCTTGCTTTATGGTTTCTAGATGGCAGCACTTTCAACAAACTGATAGTAGATATCCAGAAGCCACGGAAAGAGAATACCGAGACGAATATCAGATGCTAAGTGGTACTGCCTGGTGTCAAATGCCGTAGTAAAATAGATGCTAGGATGTGCACCAAAGTGGTCAATTGGCCATAAATGGGGCGTTTAAGATGGAAGGAGTCCATTGGCAGCGAATAGAAGATATTCGCCTTGCAAAGCGAATGTTGAACGCGCAGACGTTGACAGGCGGTCACCAGAACGACCTACAATACGA